GAGACTGGCCCTGCCTAACCGAGCCCGCAGTGACGACATCCGCAGGACAGCCAGGGCCAGGAGAGCTGAGGGCGAGGGGCGGACACGCCGTGGCCGTCTGGAAGGAAGGCGGTTCCCCGCGCCGGCCGAAGTCTGCTCCCGTCTCGGTTTGAGCTGCCGCTGGGGTGTCACGTGCCGCGTGGCTTCTCTTCAGGGAGCGGCGTGCAGCCGTGCGAGCCTCGCGGTGCCGCAGAATGCTGCTTTATCGACTCTCAAATACCTGTTCCGGGACTCGGAAGAGAGACTCGAACAAAAGAGAAACATATTATTCAAAAAGTTGTTAAATACATATTCAAATGTATTATTTTAACTACTACTGAAAAAACTTTTTGAAATGCTTCAATATAACCGGTGATAAATTACCGACTCTTGACTTGGAGTATGTGAAAGACGCCTTCTTTCCTCCTCTTCACATTTATTTATTACATTCCTGAGAGCATACGCAGATAAACAATTAGTAGAATATGTAATAAAAGCAATAAAGTGGTGAAATCAGACAAAATTATTCTGACAGCAAAACAAGAACTGTCACACCAAAAGTACAGATCTGTTAGGGGGAAGAGAGAGATGACCGTGTTACCCCAAATTTGACAAGTCAATGTTTACATGACATTGTCAATGATGAGTTGTGAACCCAAAAGAACCTTTTCTAAAGTTTTAATAATAAAAATCTAATTATGGCGAGTCATGCTATAGGAAAGAGTAAATTCTTTCTCTTTGTAGAAACTATCATGAAATTACTGTCACATGAAGAGTGATTAAAGAGTATGAGATTAAAAGTGGTAGCAAAAGAATGAGATAGAGGCATGACAGTTAATCGAAAATATTTTGTTATTTTCCTGGATTTTGTGAAGCTGTGGTTTTTGTGTGCATTTTAAAAGATATAATTTTCTATGATTTATATTCTCATTCTAAGTAAATATCTACATCCACACCAACATTTGAATTCACAAATTTGCACTGTTTGCTCTAAAGAGACCCCCTAACCCAGACCTCTGCAGGCAGCGTCTGGCCGGCCCCTGCCCTGAGAGGAGGGCTCGTCCCCTCCCCCGAGCTGAGGGTGTCCGGGAAGAATGCGCGGGCAGGGGCGGGGCCTGGTCCATCAGAGCTCTTCCCCTCCGCGTGGGAAGCTCGCCAGCCCCAAGGGCCCTCGCTGAGCTGGACGGAGCCTATGCACTTACTCAAGGCAAAAGCAGGAAAGTCGAGGCCACGGAATCAGGGTTCCACGTAGTGTGACACGTGACCGTAAGTGCGGCAGCACCAAGCAGTGCACGTTTGTTAGTTTACCGTTTCTGGGTCAGGAGGTGGGCACAGCTTAGTGGGTGTCTCTGCTGTGGGGTCTCCCCAGGCTGCAGTCAAGGCATCCGCGGCTGTGTTCTCACGTGGAGGCCAGACCGGGGTGGACCCACTTCTGCGCTCATGTGGACTGTTGGCAGAATTCACGTCCTCGTGCTTAGGAGCGACGGCCTCAGGAGTTTGCTGCCAGCTGGGGCTGCCCGGGTTTGCTCAGAGAGCCACCTCCACAGCAGAGGGCCCACATGGCCAGCCCACAGGCAGCTCACGGCGTGGCTGCTTGCCTCGTCAACGCCGGCAGGAGGGCTGGGTTGAGCCGGCTGGCAAGACAGAGGCTCCCATAATGTCACAGAGTCACGGGAGTGACAGCCTGTCATTGCTGCCACATCCTACAGGTTGGAAGTCACGGGTCCTGCCCACACTCCGGGGGGGCTGGTCCCCAAAGGTGTGAGTGCCATGAGGGCCAGGGGCCCCTGTGGCATGTCCACCACAGTTGCAAGCCACTCTCTGTGTGGCCTGCCTGCTGTGTCCTCCCAAATTCATGTTCAAACTCAATCCCCAACGCGACAGCAGCCAGAAGTGGCCTGCAGGGCGGTGGTCCGGCCTCGAGGGCTCCACCACACGGGCGGACGGGCCTCGTAAGCGAGGCTGAAGGGCCGGCTCTCGGCCATTCGCCCTTCCACTTTTCGGCCATATGAGGACATGGTGACAAGGCGCCCTTGGCAGCAGAGAGTGGCTCTCACCAGATCCCGAGCCCGGAGCCCTGGTCTTGGACTTCCAGCCCCAGGAACTGCGAGCCGCACGATTTTGTCTGACAATTTCGCAGTCCGTGTTTCGTTATAGCAGCAGGAGCAGACTCAGACACTGGCCCTCCTGACACGGGTGGCCCACAGAGACAAAGCCCTGGGCACACACTGGATAAATAAGGATATCGGGTCAGTTGTCACTCTGCGAGTGTCTAACTAATGCCATCAGAACCAGCCAGTGGGTCCAGATCCCACCTCTGTGCCCTGGGAAGCACAAGGCACAGGGACCTCGAGGGACCGCAGAGCTTGGCCCGCGGCCCCAGGCCGGCCCTGGCACCTGGGCAGGTCGGAGACGCTACCATGAGCTTGCAGAGACGGCCAGACATGGTTCCACAGCCAGATGTGCGCCACGGGCCGGGCGCCCGCCCCTTCTCTCCCATAGAAGCCCGAGAGGCTGCAAACGGCTGGAGTCTCGGTGGGCCGCGGTGGACGGGGCTGGTTTACTGGAGTCACAGGAAGCGCAGATTAGAATCACTGACGCCCAACGGTGTGAGGCCAGTGCTGACGTTATTGCTGAGAACACAGAATCGCCACTAGAGGGCAGGCGACCACCAGGCGAGGCACACAGCAGGCGCTCAATCGCCGTCAGACTCTGAGACCGGACAGGCAGCCTTCCCGAGCCTGCTCCCCTCCTGCCCTGCGCCAGCTGCTGTGCCCCCTGACCCGGCGTCAGGAGCCGCCCGTCCCCCCTCCGCCTGCCGGGCCTCGGGTCTAGGCAGGGCGAGTGTCTGCGTCCGGTCCTCGGACCAGGCCTTAGCGTGGCCTGGACGCCTCTTTCTTTCCCACCACGTCAACTCCTCTGCGACTCCCGTCAGTCCTTCCTTCCAGATGCCCCCAGAACCCGACGCCCCCGCCCGCTCCCGCCTAAGTCTGACCCCACCAGCCGGTCCTCAGCACCTCGGTGGAGCCAGTGGCCACCATGCTGTCACCGCAGGCCTCTGCTCTGCCTCAGCCGACCCATCCCCAGAGCCCCCTGCGGCCCCCACCGCAGTTGGCAGGCTCACCCCTCCCCTCCCCAGGTCCTGTCCGCCTGCACTGTCTGGGGGCCCTTCCCGGTCGCCCCACTTGATGCTGCACTGCCCGTTCCCCTCCTCACGTGGTGTTTCATTTCCAGGACACCTGTCACTTTGGCACCTGCTGCCCCTACTGACACGGGTGCCTGTGCCTTCCGTGTCCCTCTGCCTCCTGGGCTCTGTGTCCACATCCCGTGGGAGAGAACTGTGTCCCTAGCCTGCCGCGCAGTGCGCCAGGCGTCCTACTGGGCCCATTCCTGCTGCCCCGCAGCGCGCCACGGGGCTGAGGGCCTCCGGGTGTCCAGGCGGCTGGGGCGGGGCCCTCGGGCCGGGTGCACAGGGCGGCTGTCTGTGGCAGGCCTGCGCAGCCAGGAAGGGGTCCAGCCACGTGGGTGCTGCGCCCACCCGGGAGCCTGGGACAGGCCGTCCTCCTGGGGCTGCTGACTCCCCAGAGGCAACTCCAGAGGGAGGGGTCAGCACAGCAGCCCCTGGGCCCAGGTCCCTGTGCATCGCCCAGGCCCTCCGGCCTCCCGGGGGCCCCGGGGGGGAGGTGGCGCCCCGAGCCCTCAGCGCTGCAGCAGGAGCCTCCGCGGGCCCCACACAGCCCGGCACCGCCCCGCACGGTACAGGTGCCCTCTGCACCCCGCTTCCCAGGCGCCTGCGCCCAGCACGCCCCCTCGCCCCAAGGCTGCGTCCTTTGTCACCAACCACCTGGGGGGAGCGTGGGCTGCCAAGGTGGCCTCGAGCTGCAGCCAGGGCTTCTGCCTGGAGGAGGCCACAGTCAGGAGCAGTGAAGGTGACCAGACCAGACTTTGCTGGGCCCGGAGGACAATCGCCTCGGCGGGTGGTGTGGCCACGCTCCACGCGGGAAGGCAGCGGCCACGCGCCCACGGCAGCAGGGGAGGCGGGTTCCACACGCCGGGGACTGGCACTTTGGTGTCTGGGCAAGAACTGAACTTCCATTCTTATCATTTTAAGTAGTTTTGCCTAAAAATAAAAAAAGCCGATGCCGGTGGGGAGAGGAAACGGAACCTGAGTGTGAGCGAGAAAGAGCCCGAGGTCCCGCCAGCAGCGGCCTGGCCTCGCGGGGCGCAGAGACGACAGCCAGAGCCGGTGGGGGCCACGACTTTTATTGAGCTCGAGGGCGCGGGCGGCTTCCTGGTGCGTCCCTGCCTCCCACCCTCCCCGGGACACGCGCAGGCGAGGGCCCTCCCAGCACGTGACATCTCAGTGAAGTCGGGGCCCCGGCGCCCTCCAGCACTGCACCCCCGGGCCAAGGCCCGACCTCCTCCGGCCCCTCTCCCCGCACCCCCTCGGCTTGCAGGAAAGGCACGCCCGATCCCAGCACACGCCCTGGGTGGAGACGTGAGCCCAGACACGCGGGCTCTGGGGGAAATGGAGTCAGCAGACAGGGCCAAGTGAGAGGGGAGGGGTCTCAGAGCAGCCGGGTCTGGACGGCAGAGGAGGGGACGGTGTGCAGATGTGCTGCTGAAATGCCAAACCGACTCCTAGGACAGACAGGACACTGACACTAAGCAACAACACGTCTAAATGTCTCGTGGGAGCCCCCAAAGCATTAAACCCTAACGCTGCATGCGGCGCATGGACAGAGCGGAGCCTAAACGAGCATTTACAGAGGCGGCTGGGGCGGCGCCGGGAGCTCGCGGAGACACAGATCGGCCTCGCTGCGAGCGTGCACGTGCCGCCGTGGCACACGCCCTCTCTGCGCGTAAGGAGCCCTCGGGATCTGCGGGAAGGGCGGGTGGTCTGTACAGAGTGTGCGAGCCGGGCCCGTGGGCTCGAGCGGGCGGTGACGCGGCTGTCGCGGAGCAGAGGAATCTGGGCAGGATCAGAGCGCGCCCATCCCAGTGACCTCGGACGTCAGCCTGCAACAGATGAGGCATAGAGGGGAGACAGGTCACGTCTCACAGACGGATCAGCCCCAGACGGGCCTGCATGGGGGCCCGAGTCCTTCAGGTGCCGGAGCCCCCGGAGCCCCTGGGTCTGCCCCGCAGGCACCCCAGCCTCGCAAGCCCCACTCCCATGTTGGCTGTCACAGGGATACACGTGACGTGGGCAAGGGTCCCCACCCCCAGCACGGCTCCAGTGGGCTGACACGATGCTATCGGGCAGGCGTGGGGCAGGCGCTGTCCCCAGACTGGCTCCGGCCTGGCCAGTACCGTGCTCTGCCCGGGCCCAGCCCCGCAGGCAGGGCGGCCGCAGGGGCGGAGAGAGGGCAGGACCGGCTCCGGACGCCGGCACAAGCCTTGTGGGAGGTCAGGTGGGTAAAGCCGGGGGGTGTCCTCGTCTCCACACAACCCCTCACCCGCTTGCTGCTGGGAGCTGGGCGGGGCCCCGTAGGAGGGGCTCAGGACGGGGACAGGGAGTCACACACCCACACGGCCCTGTCCAGCCCCTCCCACAGGCCCACGTGGGGCTCCGGCCGGAGGACGTCCTCAGGGAGCGAGGCTGGCGGGCTCCTCACACCGGCGGCCGAGAGCTGGTGGTGCCGGCGTCACGGCCTGTGTGGCCGCGTGGGTGCTGGCTCGGGACCACGCCTGCACAGGACAAGGGGAAGGACGGGGCCCTGCGGAGTTCTCTCCTGCCCTGACCCCGCACGTTTCTCTGGGGATGAAGAGTGAGGACAGAAAGGCAGACGCCAGAACGCCAGTCCTTCTGGACAGCTCCGCGCGCACGAGGGCGGCTTTCCAGGCTTTGCCGCCCACAGGAGCCAACGTCTAGGCACGTGTCCAGGACCACACGGCCACCTGCCCTCCTGGGGACACTCTCACTGTCTGATTCCTGCTCTTCACTGGAGATGCGGAGAGTGAGGGTCAGGGTGAGGGCTGGCCGTGTCCGTGTGGAGACTCCCAGCATCCAGCGGGGGGCCGGGGGTACCGAGGGGAGGCAGAGCGCAGCCCGGGCCCCGCACGCCACGCTGTCAGCTGAGATGAGGGCAGCGGCTCTGAGTCCCTGTGGGGCGTCCACGTGGAGGCCCCGGCGGCTCACCTGGCGTTGATGAGATACTGGGCAAGGCTGATGTTGGCCGGGGTCCCCGTGATGGTGATCTGACGCTCGGACGACCCTTCAGTGGCGTTGGCAATTTTGATCTGAGCCCCAGACATCTGCCGAATTTCATTGATTTTGGTCCCCTGGCGTCCGATTATGCAGCCTATTAGCTAGAAAAAGAGGATGGAGGGAATTTCTTAGAGAAGAGCCTGAGCCCGCCCCCCAGGAGCGCGCGCAGCACCCCTGAGAGCCTGCCCGTCAGCTGCGGTCTTGGTCTCCAGCCCGAGCCCTGGACGCAGTGCTCCCGAGGGAAGAGGCACAGCCGGCCTCACGGCTGCAGGGTGTCACCTGATCCAGGACCCATGTCGGGGAGATGGGGACTAAGGGCCCCGCCTCTCCCTGCCAGCCCGGAGCTGCCTCTGCTCGGCGCCCTCCTGGGGGAGGCCCTTGGGGCCAAGAGGGCGCAGTCTGGACCTCGGCACTTCACACTGGTTTCTGCGGGCGCCTGGTCAGGAGAGACCCAAGCCAGGCTGGCGGGTGCTGCGTGGGGCCCCGACGCCAGCGCCGGCTGAGGTCGCGTCAGCAGCTTCTGGCTGCATCCTCAGGGTGAGAACGGTTCTGCCCAGACCCAGAGTGGAAGTGGCCAAGCTGTTGAAGAATGTGTATTTGAAGCCACCGCGAAACTCACTGCTGCCTGAAACCCGTCTTTGGATGAACTCAGGTGAAATTCTGAGGACGTGTCAAACGTTCCCTTTCACTCCCATTCTGCGAGCTCTGTTTAAAAGGGGGTGCAGTGGCGTCCGGCCGAGGGGGTCGGCAAGATGAAGGTCCTCCCTGAAGCAGCCCTGGGGTCGAGGCCTTCTGCGTGGCCACGGTCGCCCTGTGTAGGCCCCTCCCAGTCCCCTGCTGTGAGGGGGACATCTTGGGCCCCCAGAGAAGACCGCGGAGGAGCCAGCCAGCAACACTCGATTTCTGCCTTCAGATGGAACGGAATCCCTTCACGCCGGCCAGGCCAACGGCGAGAGCTCTGGAGCGAGGACAGGAAAAGGAGCGGCCAGACATGTAGCCGCGAGAGCCAGACCGGAGCCCGCCCTGCACCGAGGGCCCAGGGGGCGACACCCGGCCCTTAGTCTGCTTCTGCTGCCACCTCCTCTCGAGGCCGTTGGTTGGAGGTGTCAGAACCGTGGTGAACCTGGTGTCAAAAACACGTTCTATTCTTCTGTTCTTACATCAAGATGGGCCGCGAGCTGGTGCAGAGGAGGGAAAATCCATCTGCAAACGTGGGCGACACAGTCTGCGTGGTGAGCCGCCCCCCAGCCCGGGGAGCACGGTGCCCTGCAAGCTAGCTCCTGCCCTAGCTAGCTTGGAGACCCACTGTGCCTCATGCCATCTCTGCTGGTTACCTAGGTTACGGCCAGCTGTCTCACTGGACCATAAAATCGTCAGTCTTTATAAACATCTAGAGACCTCTGCTCTAGAAAAGCCAGAGCTGCCAACTTCCTCTATCTCCTGCCTGCGCCACTGGGCCCCCCACACCTCCCCAATCCTGCGCCCACCTCCCCAGGCCCCATAGGCATCTGCCAGGCTTGCCCCCAGCCCCCACCTCTGGGCGCTGCCCACCCCCTCCTCGCTTAAGCCTGTGTCTGTGCTCTGTGCCCCCAGGTCAGGAGGTGGCTCCCCAGCCTGCACATGGCCACAGTAACCAGAGACCTTGCGGGCCCATCTCTGACCGGGCAGCACCACCGTCCCCTCAGCAGTGTGACCACGGGTCCTGGTAAAATGCCAACATTCAGGAGGGAGCACACGGCCCTGGGCTGCCGGGTTCCACGTTGTCCCTTCCTCAGCCACTGTGGTAGCCCACTTTCCTTTCTAGCACTTTCTGCACTGCAGCGCAGTGGTGCTTGCTGAACCCTCAGTGCCGACAGCCTCCCATTCCCCGATTGCGGTTTGACAAGCCCCTGGGGAGTCGTCTCCCCCAGCACAAAGCGCCTCCCTCTTCTCTCAGCATCCGCCTCCACCCTCAAACCCTCTCTGCCAGCAGCGCCCTGGAGCTTCCTCCGGTTCCCGCCGCCTCCTCCCACGCCCTGGCGAGCTGCTCAGGGCGTCTTTCCCCTGGCCGTCGGGGGCGCTGACTCTGCCTGCAGCCTCTGCCCTCCTTTGGACAGCTGTGGAGTCTGAGTGCGGGGGAGCAGTCAGCACGCCCTCCATGCTGACCACGTCGCTGTGACTTCTGAAGCGGAGCCCTCCGTGGTCAGAAAGGGATGTGAGAAGGACACGCTTCTCCCACCGCCCTGCCCTGGGCTTGCTCGGTGCGAAAGAGGAGACCCGCTGGGCTGAGCCCTGCAGCCCAAGGGTGCCCCCACCCGGCCCCACTCACACCTGCTGACCCCCTAACCCTCAACAGCCCGGAGATCACTGTCTCCTCTCACCCTTGTGCGGTTTCATTGCAAATTTAAAGAAAAACTACAGAAATATTCTGAAATAACGTGGCCCCTCCTGACCAGACATCAGAGCTCAATCACACAGGAATGGCAGTTACACCTCCCGTCCCCTCTCCCCCTTCAGCCCACTGTCTGACACCTCTGATTCCTTCTCCCAGAAGGCCCTGGGGGTTCTGCAGCTCAGGACCCGGGAGGGGCCAGGCCCCAGCAGGCAGGTGACCATGGGCACCAGAGATGACGTGGCCAAGAGCAAGCACAGAAGTGGGCCATGAGGGAGGCCCATGGTGACCGTCAGAAACGGACCCAAAGGCCTGTGTCCTCAGTGGCTGTGCTGTGGGGCCTGAGTCTGACGTTCTCGCAACCAAGTGTCTTTCTGCAGGCAAGCTGAGGTGACCTGTGGACGTCGGCATGATCCAGCTGTGACCAAGAGGCAGATGTGGATGAGATGACAGGCGAGCGTCAGCACAAATGCACATTTATCTCCTTCTTTTTCCCCAAGAAGGTGGCAGGTAGCCCCATGTGCTGAACATCAGCTCTGTGGAAACGCCTGCACCGCAGCCCAGACGCCGGGGCCCGGGGCGAGCAGGAGAAAGCCCCTGACGTGCTGCCAACGGCTCTGCCATGAAGCAGCACAGGACGGGGTCCCGCAAAGGCACATGGGGGAGGGAAGCCACCTTCCTTCTGAGGGGCAGGTCTCCCCAACCTAGAAAGACTTCCAGGAGGACGGGAAGTGGGCAGCCAAGAACTGGGAAAACCAGCATTTGTCTGGCCGAAGGAGGCCACAGGAAACAGAGGCGCCAGCTCTCCACAAGATGCCTCATCCTCCTGCTTTAAGTTCATTTCAGTGTTGAACCAACAAGCTTGGCTGAGAGCATCCGTATCTGGTGCTGGTGACACAGTATGGTTCAGGTGACCGGCTAAGAAGGAAAAACCCTACAGGGCAGAAGGTCCGCTGGCTTTGTCACCTGGGTGAAAAGACTCAGGAGGGTGACAGAATCCACATGTTCAATGAACCATCGCAGTGGGGGGTTGCAAGAAACCAAAATCCCTCCCTCCAAGAATGTGGGGGCAGCAGCAGTGACCCCTGCCTGGGGAGACGGCTCTGTGCTGCTGCTCTTCAAGTTGGCCCAACCTCAGAAATGCTCGTGAGAGACGTAAGGCTGGTGACAAAGCTGCTTGGGCGTAAGTGTCTGAGCGGCTCTGAACAGACGTGCGGATTGTGCCTGAAGAACGGCCCTACGGAGGTGGCCTGGAGCAGGCATCGCCACAAGACAGCTCTTCAGGAGGGTTAGTGGCACTGGCCAGATGGCCTCGTGGTCCTGTCCTCTGGTGCCCCTGCTCTCTTCTGCCTTTTCTCTTTCTCATTGTCCATCTTCCACGTTCAGAATGGGTGATCTCACTGAACTCCCAAATCTGTGCTTCTGGTTGTTAGCGTCCATGAAGGGAAGAGGCAGGGTTTGGATTTCCTGCCTGGCAGGTAAAGGGGTGGAGCAGTGAAGGTTCCTGAATGCCACAGCTCTAGGGCAGAAAAGGCCCCTGGACATTTGACCCAGAAGGGGCACAGCCATCACCACAGTCCATACAGGGACTCTCCCTGCTGCTCTGGCAGCTACCCCTCAAGGACACCCTCCATGGTCTCTCAGTTTGGGGTAGTCCAAGGATACAGAGAATAGTCCTTCCTCTCCACCAGACCCCTACTTAGTCTGGGGAGTAATCGGCGTGTTGAGGGGAGCTCGTAAGGCCACACCCTCAGGTGTGAAGGGCTGACAGGCGCTAGATATGGGAATCCAGACCTGTGACATCCAGCCAACTTCAGGTCTGTCGGAGCCAACTCAGGGAGACTCTCAAGTCTCCAGAGGTGCCAGGGCCCATGGGGCAGGTACTGCGGGTGGGTCCACTCCAGGGAATTCCTGGCCACCCTCTTCTTCAAGGTTTGACCTTGACCTGGGGCAGTGCCTGCTCAGCAACATGGGTTCCCAGTCCAATTCTCAACTGACTTTTGATTAAACCCTGAAGTCCTCTTGGCCCCTTTCTTGTTTAATATCTTAGGGAAGTAAAATCACACACCTTTTGTGGGCATTGAACACACTTAAATGGGAAAGGAGGAAAGAGATGAAACAGGGGGCTTGGGTGGTAAGGCTGTTACTGAGCAGGGGTCCAACTGCCCAAGGGTGGCAGAGCTAACAGCCACCCACACCTGGCATTCCCACAAAGGGACAGGGGGTTGCAGGGCATACTCACATCATTGGGAATGGTGAGCTCGTGAGTGCTGGCTGGGGGGCTGGCGTCCAGACCTGGGCACACCAAGGGGACATGGTTAGGCTGGCAGGAAGGCTTCTCATGGTCACACCCCAGCATCTGGCTGACACTCCATCGGGCTGGGCAAGGGAGGGCTGGAGGGCTGGCCAGATGGTGAGGGTCAGCATAGCGCTGAGGCTCAGGACCCCGTGAGTTTTCAGTCCTAACTGCAACCCAACCTCCTGAGTCCCAGCATTCCTCAAAAGAAGGAAAAAGAAACCCAAGCAGAATGACATTTCACTGTTTTTTGGGGCACATCATGATGTCACTTTGCTGCCACGTTTGTGTAATCTCTCCTAACACCTGGCACAGGCACCCCGGCCAGCCCCAAGCTGAGGGGCAGGGCCGTCCAGCATGTCTCAGGGCCTCCACGGGGTGCCCAGGGGACAAGCACACTGGTCACACTGACCCTGAGTGCCCACCCTCCCTGTGTTCTCGGAGACCTCTGGTTCCGAGGCCCAGTCTGCTCACTGGCGCCCCACCTGAATGCTGCCAGTGGCCGAGCTCGCAGAGTTGCCTCTTGCTCAGCTTCTGACCTGATGCCATCCAAAGGCTCTGCACAGCCCGGCTTGGATACTCAGGACCACTAGACAGGTGTCCTGGTTTGGAGCATGGAGACCTAATAGCTTCACTGAGTCAGAAATCAGCTGCTGGACCCAGAGCCAGACTCCACCTTTCCAAACTGAACAGTGGAGACGTGGGGCTACTTTATCCCCAAGCCCGAGCTGTTCTCTTTACAACTCTCAGGTAGAAGATGACTTCTCAGAGCTCAGGCACGAGACCTGCTCTGGCTTGAAGAATAGAGACAGCAAAGCCCGCAGCAGGCGGGGAGGGAAGCCATGAGCTGCCCGCCTGAGCGGGGTGAGCAGGCTCATGGGCCAGAGGCCAGTTCTCCCCGACTCTCTCCTTCTCTCTCCACACTCAGCATTTCCATTTCCTCAGCAGGAGGCGGCTCCAGCCCAGGCTTAAGCTGAGGCCCTGCTTGCCCCTCAGGCCCTACATGGTTCCCGGCCAGATCCTGTAGCTCAGCCCAGACCCCAGAGCCCCGGGCTCCTCCCTCCACCACCACAGACCCAACTGAGGAGGCTTCAGGATGTCCCGGAACCCGAGCCCCCATGCCTGCTCTGTGGCCCCACCTTTGCCCTCCCTCTAGGCCTCAGCCTGGTCTCCATGCAGCCCACGTTCCCAAATGCACCTCAGATGCCCCCATGACTCCAGGGAACTCCCACTTCCTCACGGTGCCCCCTGCCCCCCTCAAGTCCATGTTACAGCCACGCCCCGGTACCCCCAGCCCTGGGTGGGCGGCTGCCCACACTCCAGCTCTCTCCTGGCCTCCCTCCCAGTCAGTGACTCCAGGCGGGTGTGGGTCTGGGGGCACCCAACACAGTGGGGGCGCGGCTGGCAGGTGCCAAATGAACCAATCATCCCATACTGTCTGTTATTTGTCTTTTGCGTGTCTAAACCTAGAGTTTCTGTTCTTTACCTTCTTTTAGTAAGGATGTTTTCAACAGAACAATTATTTGGTAATTCAACTATCTATATACATCCCATAAATTATGACAATTAAAATGTCATTTAACAGATTCTCGGGTGCTGCCTGAGTCATGGACAGGAATTCCTGAACAACGCAGAGCTCAGGGCAAACCCAGAGCAGAGTCACACCGGTTGAACTTGGGATATTCTGACCAAGGGGAGGACAGCATCAGAATTCTTTTTAAGAGGGTACTAAAATTAAACTAATAATTGAAAGACTATCTGTTTAAGACAAATGTTCCTCTACCTCAGGACAACATGGCTGCATGGTGAGCACTTTTCTCGTGAGGATGATGATGTTCCAGGCTCTGGGAGACAAGCGATGCCTCCCCAGCCTAAAGCCACGCGTGCTGTGGGAGGTCTCGCTGGCGTCAGTCCCCAGGACTGCCACAGTCAGACACTTCTCATCACCCCACCTGATTTCACCCTGCTGTGGCCAGCATGTGTGTGCACAGCGGGTCCCGGGGGCCTTGGGGAGAGGAGGGTCGTCACACGGCAACGCCCTGGCAGCTGGGGCGCCGGCCATGGGCCAGGAGGCCCAGGGATTGGAGTGTGTGTGGCATCTTCCTTAAGGGACCTGGGGACCCGCCAGGTCCCCAGCTTCTCCATCTCAATGCTCGCTCCAGACAGATGCATCTACAGGTCTGTAGGCCGCCCCACGCTTTCATGGACATCAAAAGGGCTGTGGACGGCACAGCACGCACCAGCCTTTCTCCTTAAGAGTTTGCTCATGTCTCCCATGAAACACACTCTTACAGTGCAGACCAGGGTAAGTCCTCCCATACCTGCTCCCACAGACCGTGGGTGCACCCTGACTGGACCCTACCGCGACCAGGTGCTGCACTGAGCCCCCTCGGATCCCCCAGCCCCAGCACAGTGGGGCCCCGGCCGAGGCTGGTCCACGGCCCTGGCCCCCGGAAGCTGCTGACCGCACTCGGATGTGGGTGCCGCAGGACCGCAGAGCGGGGCCGGGGCCTGCTCCCCCAGTGGGCTGTTTACCTGACGACTGGCCCATCAGATTTTGAGCTTCTTCGGAGGAGTGTAAAGGCAGCTTTTCTCCTGGAGAGCAAAGAAGAGACAGGTTTAATGTTTTGCCCTCAAGGAGATAAGCACGGTCCCTTCAACTAGGGAAGCTCAAAATATGACTGGCGCAGGCACAGCTAAGCCATGTCCGGTGGCCCACTCAGCCACGGCCACAGGCGTGGCTCTGCCCTGCCTCTCTGGGGAGGGACACCCAGCTGTGCCCAGTGACCCTGCCTGCCCGCCACCGTGCCTGGGCTGGGGACGGGCTGGGGTCCCTGCTTCCCGAGGCGGGGCAGGGCAGGGCCGTCCTGGTGGGCGCCACCCGGGACGTACAGTGGCTTCCTGCAGAGCAGCGCCCACACCTGCTCGCCTGCACACTTCCCCCTGGACGGAAATGCGCCAGGTCTGGGCACGTGCACGCCTCCAGCAGGAAGCCCCCCTGCAGCAGCGCAGCGCTGCCCGGCAAGCGCGGACCTTGGCGGGCAGACATCTCTTCACAAGCGAGGGTTCGGCAAGGCCAACCGTGAGGGACGCTGGCCACAGTGGGGGACAGACAGACTGACCTCCCCTGCCCGGCCCCGAGCACCCCACTGCTGCCGGCCCTGCACCAGCGACACTCAGCTCCACCTGCACCTGCTCTACACGCTGCACCGAGCAAACAGTTCAGAGACAGCCCCCAGGTGAGAAGAGAAGGTCAGAAAAGGGCTGGGTACGTACCGGGGAAAGCGGGGTTGGTCTGTCCGAGGGGAGGAAAGGGGGTTTGCTGCATGGCCAACTGGTGGAGCTTGGTCAACTGCTGGGGTAGGAGGGACACGAGAGCTAAGAAGGTTATTGTCATCGAGTACAAGTCACACCAAATCAAAACGGCAGTAACAGAACTGTGCACAGATAGAGCCATGCGGACACATGGCGGACGCGGCAGACTCAAGGACTTGGCCTGGGAGAAGCCAATGGGGCCCGCCTTGCCGGCTGCGGGCAGCACGCGGGAGGCGCCGGAGCCGCTGTGCTCCCTCCTAGGCTCCCGGGCAGCTCCACCCGGACCAGCCAGGCCTCCCTCACCAGGCCGGTGTGGACGGAGGCTGGCCAAGGCCAGTGGCCTGCGGAGGCTCTGAGCCACAAAGCAAGGCCACCTGGGCTTCTAAGAGACTCAAAGTCAAGTCACTACTCACGAAACTTGTGCTGTCACCTGTGGGGTCCACAGCGCCACACAGACCTTGCCCTGGCCCCAGCCCTGAGCGAGGCTCGGACGCCCCGCCAAGGCCCTGGCTTTACCCAGGGGGATCTGGGGGCGCTCAGGACCCACACACCTGCCCTCCAGACACCTCCAGGGAGCATCTCGTCTCCCCGGGACTGCAGACTGTTGGTGCTGGGACAGCCGCGGAGGCGCTGAGGGGTGTGGGGCACTGGTCCGGAGGCCGCCTGTGCCTGAGGCCCGGGCACCCGCAGGCTGCACCCGCCCCGCCTCCCAACCCACAGCCACACACTTCCCAAGGGGGGCCTTGACTCAGTTTCTTATCTTTTCTTAGCCTCGTTTCTTAAATAAACACTAAAAGTAGCAGAGGATAAAGGTAAATGTGGCGAGACAAGCCACATCTTGGGAGCAAGGGAGCAGGCTGAATGCCCGGAACCCACCCATGCTCTGGAGTCCGGGGCTGCTCCGCGGAGGGTGTCATGGGCCTGCAGCCAGGGCGCCAAGGCGCGTGCTGGGTCTCAGGACCACCCAGGCCGGGAGGCTGCACGTTCGGGGAGAGGTACCTGCCTCCCACCCAAACGCAACCCTGCGCAAGCTGCCTGTGCACTGAGCTGGCCCAGGATTGGCGCCCTCCCCACAGCCAAGCAGGTGACAGGATGGAGGTGCTGTGAGAGGCCACCACGGCTGGGGCTGGGGACACCTGGGCAGCAGAGCTGTTGTCCCGAGTAAGAGGGGCTGGCTTCTGAGGGTCTGCTCAGACCCCTCCACACTGGCCCTGTGGCCCCGTGGGGTCTGTGTGTGGCCTCCCAGGAGCAGCGCACCTTCCCTGAAGAGTGTGGCCCCTTCCTGTCCCAGCACTGGCATCGAAGGGCTGCTCCCCTGCCTGGGCCTCCCTGAAAGCCTGGCAGCCGGGGCAGGGCTGGGGCAGGGCCAGGCCTGCGGGAACAGGGCTCTGGCGCATGGGCGGGTCAGGCTGGCCTCTCACTTCCGTGGGCCGGGTCCTGGCATGGAGGTCCACACAGACCCCGTGGCGAGCCTGCAGCCTCCCGTCACGCCCTCCAGACAGAACCTTTGGTGCGTGTGCGTGAGCTGCGAGATCGGGGCGTTTGTTGCCGCGGCAAGCTGACAAATACCGTGTGTCTGACCTGGCCCCTGGAGCACCTGCCTGCCAGACGCACCTGGCGAGCACTGATGCCAGGCACGTCTCACAAGCCCCCGGCCTCTTCCGCCTTCTTGGCTGTGTCCTGATTGGAGGCACTTGGGCTGGGCCTGCTCGGGAGGACACCTGGCTGCAGCTGTCGTGGCCAGGAGGTGCGAGGAGCCCCAGTGAGGGGACATGGAGACTTGGGGTCAGACTCAGCTTTCCGAGTCCCCTGAAGAGGTGGCAATTGTCAAGGCCACAGCAGGGCCTGGGGGGCCGATGGTGCCCCTGCCTGCCCACTGGCTACTGCCCCAGGTGGATGGTGCCTGGTTGTGGTGTGGGTGGCACCTGCGCCTGCCTGGACCAAACCCTCGTGGGCACGGTGACAGGCGCACCCTGGAGTCTCCACAAGGTGCCAGAAGAGCCAACCCCGGAGACACTTCCCCCAGGACGCCAGCTGCAGCCACAGGGACAGCTTTGTGCCTCTGGGCGAGGCGCAGTCCCTGAGGTGGCTGGAGACCCTGCTCTGCATGGAAGCAGGTGAGCTCAGGGATCCTAGCGAAGTCTCCCACCCGGACTCAGGCGCCCGTGGCAAGAGCACGCACCCCACCCACCGTGTCCCAGGCGAGACTGCCCACGGTGGACCAGGCACCTGCCTCCTGGGTACTTGGCCCTCAGCCACCTGCGGCTGATTCGCACAACCTCCCCCCACTCCCTGCCCCCTCTAGACGGCCCTGGAGCCTTTCTGTGACAGCAGGGCGCGAAGGATACACGCATGTGCCCAGTCACCCCAAGTCACCTGAGGGGTGTCTGATGGGGCCGAACCTACCCACGGGGAAGAGTCCGACAAGGAAGACACTGACTGCAAACCCCCAGGATGGAGCTGGCACCCTCAAAGGACATCAGGGAAGAGCAAGGGCCAGTGAGGCTTGGCTCAGGGCGAGGGTCACGGCTGGGGCACGGGGGAGCCTTGGGGAGGTGCCCGTGTGGCTGCTGAGAACTGCTGTCTCTGCTCTCGCCCGCTCGCTGCTCACCGCAGTGGGGCTGCGTGCCGGGCAGGTGCACCCCATGAAGACAGAGGACGGAGGACAGGGCCCTCTCTCATCTGTCCCTGCACTGCCCAGGACCGCACAGCCTTGCCCTGGTCAGGGCCGGGGATCGGACTGGGCCACGCCTGGGTCCCAAGGCCAGGGACCTGGCCAGAGTTGGCTCTGACCCGCCGTGTGGAGACAAGTCGCCTGGTCTCACTGGGCCCCGGCTGCCCAGTCTACAGACGGCACCCACAGCGATCCACATGAAACTCAACTGGCAATGCTGGTAGGCCCAGGGCTGTCCCATCCCCTGCGTTCTGGTCCCTCCCCCATGCCCAGTCACAGACCCCACCGGATGGTGCAGGTGAAACTTGGAGTCTGGTGGGGCTGGCGCCAGCACCCAGAGAGACTCACATCCAGAAAGTCAGAGAGTCTGGAACTTAACCCCTCCTGCCTCAACGTGTTTCCTGCTTTTTACGAAGGAACAGCCAAACCATCACACAAATCTCTCCCCGCCCCCACCGCACACCGGGGTGACGCACTAGGAGGGCGGGGCCAGCAAGGCCACGCCTGTGAGCACAGGGGAGAGTCCTGTGGGTCCCACCTTGGCTCCACCTGTGCTTGGCCAGGCCGCTTCGCCTCTTTGGGACTCAATTCCCACATTTTTAAAGGAGGGAACAGGACTAAGTGCCAAGGGGCTGTTCACTTTTTGAGATAATTCTGCCATTTAAAAAAAATCAGACTTTTGGTTCTCAGCAGTTCTCCAAATCACTGAGGGCAGGTAAAAAGGAGGGAGGGGGCGAGGGGGGGTATCGCATTACAGGTGTTTCCCTGTAACTTGTCTTTTGCACTTAACGTCCTATCAGAATAAAGAACAAATATTGAAATTGCAAGTGCTGGTGAGTCCACCGCGCAGCGCACCAGCGCCAAGGGCAGGCGCCCTGCTACCGCCACTCGGGTCAGGAGCAGGCCGCCAGGTGGTTTCAGGGTACTCATGTTTCTCCTCCCAGGAAACGCCTGTCTCTGTCTTTTGCCCATTTTTCTCACTGGGCTGATTTTTGCTGATTTCACAAATCCTCAGGCATTTCAGACACTAATCCTGCCTCAGTTATACACGCTGCACAGATCTGTTCCCCACTCTCCTTAAGGTTTCTTTAGAGAAACAGAATTCCAAGTTTTAATGTAATCAAATTCATCAACATTCCCCTTTATGGCCTGTGCTTATGTTTTGTTTAAGAAATCCTTCCCTGACCTGAGAACAGGACATTCTCCTGTATTGTCTTCTAAAAGTGCTTTTTCTCTCTGAAGTTCTTGATGTACGAGAGATGTTTCTGTTTATGTCTTTAAGTCACGACCCATTTCCCCGCAGCGATGACCACGTCTGGGCGTCGTGTGGACCATCCGTTCCCTCCTGGGCTCTCACTGAGGCCGTCGCAGGCTGGGCCTCCCTCCCGTGTGCGTCGGGTCCTGGGCTCTCTTGACCCAGTGGTCTCCTCGTCTCTCAATGACTCTAACCAAAGCCTACGTCTTTGCATGCACTAGGACAGACCACCCTGTCACGCCTTCTCATCACCGATGGGTGTCTTGATCTTGGCTTATGCTCTTCCATAAAAAATTTAAAATGGAATTTTAAGTTCCTCAAAAAACCTGCTGGGATTTTGATTAGAATTGTATTGCATTTGTGTATCAATTTAGAAAGAACAGACATCTTTAGGATACTTAGTATTTCTATCCATGAACATTGTATCTCTCCATTTATTGTGGTCTTTTGATCTTCTTTAACTTTTAATAAAGGCAACTAAAAAAAGTCATCTTTTCATTCTTGATTTGCAATTATAGTATTGTGTCACTTGCAACAGGGATATGTTCTGATAAATGTGTCATCAGGCAATTTTGCTGTCGTGCAAACGTCACAGAGTGAGCTCACACAAACCCAGGGGGTGCGGCCTATGCCTGGGCTGCATGCTACAGCCCACGGCTCCAAGGCTGCAAACCTCCACGGCTGGCCACTGTGCTGAATCCCACAGGCAGCTGTGACACAAGGCTAAGTATTTGTGTATCTGAACACAGCTAAACAGAAAAGGCACAGTAAAAATATGGCATGAAAGGTAAAAACGGCACGCCTGTTTGAGGCCCTCACCATGAATGGAGCCTGCAGGACTGGAAGTTGCCCTGGGTGAGTGGGTGGGTGGCGAGGCCTGTGAAGGCCTCGGGTGCTCCCGCACACTGCTGTAGACTTCGCAAACACTGCACCGTCAGGCTACGCTAAGCTTATTTAAACCTTTTTTTATTTCTTCAATGATAAATCAACCTTAGGTTATTATAATTTTACCTATAAACTTTTAAATGTTTTAACTTTAACTTTTTTGTAATAACACTTAGCTTAAAACACATTCTACAGCTGTACAAAAATACTGTCTTTATATCCTTTT